CGTGGAATGAGCACGATTATTTGCCAAAAACGGTATTTTGAGGAAATTGTTCATTAACTATTGTTTGTAAGATTTCTAAGAAACTGATTGACAGACGATTGTTATGGTGACGAGATCTGACGTAAAATGCATTAAAATGCAGGCATTAGGACAATTCATAGGCATGAACTTCCTTGTCTGCTTACAAGGCACATGATTTATAACTTGTATCTTAGATTGTCAACAACCTCTTGGTGTTGCAAACGGTGCTTTAACAGAGCTACAAATTTCTGCGTCAACGGAATGGGACTTCGATCACTCAGCTAACATTGGCAGACTGTTTAAAACCTTTCGTGCTGGAGCATGGGCGGCAGGAATAAATGATGGTAATCAATGGATACAGTTGGATTTGGGCGGACGGCGTATAAAAGTAACACGTGTTGCAACACAAGGAAGGTATAATAATGGACAGTCGGTAACCACGTATAAGTTACAGTACAGTGAAAATACAGTCAACTTTTATTTTTACAAGGAGCAAGGACAAACATCAGACAAGGTCAGTGATAACTTCAGACCCGCTAAATTCCTGAACTCAAAAGGTAGAAGTGCCTTTTCAATCCCATCAATGTTAATGTTTCGAAACTAAAGTGGCCCTACATTGTTTTAATGTAATCACATACTTGACCAAGGAGAAGTAGTTTTGAGTTGTGTTCTTCTCTTTTAATTATTTTTCTCCCTTTTTAAACTGACTGATGTAGGTTTTCTCTGGAAATAGTGACTCCAATACAGTAGTTTCTCACGAGCTAAATCCTCCGATTTGGGCACGTTACATTCGCTTTCGACCAGTGACTTGGAATTATCATATCTCGATGAGGGTGGAACTGTATGGCTGTGAACTAGGCAAGTGACAAAATTCCTTTCAATTTACGAATAAAGTACACGTAGAGTCCGATTCTTGTTGTTGTTCTTTTTTTTTTTTGCTGGTGTTTTTTCTTAAAGACACATCCACAGCAAAAAAAATGGAAAAATTCATTTATGCTCGTTGTAAATAATTGTCCTTTTTTTAGCGGCAAAGTCATTTTGGGGAAAGTTTGGTCATCCTGCTGTGTGTTTTTTACTTGAGAGACTCAGCTTCGTATGTATACTTCATACACATGGGGTAGTTTTGGCTAAACCCCGGATGTCGGCTAATTACTTGTCCTCAGTAGCGTTGTATACTTTTCAAAAACACCTTCAATCGTCGGGAACGAGAAGTCCAAAGACTGCTGTAAAGCTGATTTAAAACAACGTGTATTGTTTTTTTATAACAATATTTCGGCTGGCCATAACAGCCTTCTTCAGGTTTACAGGTTTACGTCGGGATCGTTTTATAATTTTTCAGTAGTCTAGTTTGATGTAATTGGGTTTTAGTTTTCAAACTTACCATAATTACAAAAACCAAAAAGCAAACTGCAGTGATAAACATAATGATAGATATAAACACATTTCTGGAGAGAAAAAGACTTAAACTTGATGTTTCGTATGTTCCAACATACATTTTCAGAAGTAATAAACTGATGAATTAATTAAACATAAATTACAATGTGGAATAAAAAAGAAAATATATATAAAAGAAAACGTATGCAAATTACAGCAGGTAAAGTTTTTCACTGCTGACATTTTCTAACCATTTTTAATGATCATTGTAACTTGGAATGTTTCCTTAGTTGAAATTAGTTTTTTAGTATTGCCAATTAGGTCATGTTACTCTTTGCGTCAGTCATAAGCAACTGCCGATATTTCTTGGCATTTATGTAATTAAGGTAACTGTTAAAAGTGTTGCTTATGGTATTATTGTTTATTCAGAATGCCAAGATGCTCTTGGTATGGAAAACGGCTTAATTTCTGACTCACAACTTAGCGCTTCCACTCAATGGAATGACTTGGAAGGCGCCCACCGTGGTAGGTTGCATCTTACAGAAGTATGGGATCCACTTCACGAATCAGGAGGTTGGGTATCCAAATTAAATGACGTGAATCAGTGGCTCCAGATTGATGTCTTGGGTCTCACCAGGAATTACGTCAGAGTGACACGTGTCTCAACTCAAGGAAGAGAAACCACTAGTTACGGCGAAGTATATGTCAAAGCATACAGGCTGCAGTACAGTAATGATGGAGTAAATTTTCAGTACTATAAAGAAAGTGGTACAACTAATGCCAAGGTAACGAAACATTTTACTATGGAAAATGAGGACAATCCCATTACTATTTTGCATAAAAGTTTCCTTTTTTTATCTAAAATTTTGCGCAATTGCTACGAAAGGATATTCATATTTAGAGTAAGGGTTGCAGTACAGTTTCCGTAAGAAAAGCAAGTTGCATTTGCGACACAGGAGAAAAATGCGTGCACTTCCACATACACTTCTACCTCACCTGACGGCAGAGCGACTAGTTCAAAAAAGGCTGTTTAGATCTTTAGCAACTTTATAGCAGAAGAGGAAAACGTCTGAAAATCAAGGTTCGGACTCAATCAGTACACACCCGACAGTACAATCTTCTAGAATGTTTCATGGACTATCTGTTTGTAACTTTTTATTTTCTACAATTACCACGCAAACTTCGAGTATTGAGAGAATTGTGCAACCATTCGTTGTCTTGTACCAAGTGGGGCTTGTGTCTGATGGTTAACCTTTTTTCACATCATTTTTTTTTTCAGGAATTTGATGGAAACATTGATCATTACAGTGTGGTTCATCACGATCTAAATCCACCAATCACTGAACGCTATATCCGATTTCGGCCACTGACTTGGAATGTTCACATATCAATGAGAGTAGAGATCTATGGATGCACTCAAGGTAACTTCTAGACTGGCTAAAGAACACTTCTTTCAGTTAGTAAAGATCAGTGAATTATAGGTGTTTTCCATACATATTATAAGTCTATAACCTCAACCAGTTGATAATTTCGACTTAATTACACTTTTTTTCTGTATTGCTAGAGTGTACGGCTCCAGCCATTGGAATAGAGACGGGGAGCATTCTTAATGCTCAAATGACCTCTTCAACAGGAAATGCATCGCTGGCTCGGTTAAATGGACGGTTTGCTTGGTGTCCATTAATAGACGGTTATGGTGAATACATACAGGTAAAAGAAGACAGTAATACAACTTTTCTTTAAAAGATAACGGAGAGTATATAGTCACCACAGATAATGTAGTTTTATATCCAGCTATTTCCTTGGTTATTTTCATTTCATCTCTCAGTTGCTGCCATCAAATTAGAGTGGGCGGGATAACTGACCTTATTTGGTACATCTGAGTGCCGTATGATCTTGGCCTCCTTAACTTTCCCGGCTAGTTCCAACCCGCCAGATTGCCAGTATATAAATAAATGGGTGGAGATAATATATGTTTTTCTGATATATAATTATGGTAAACAATTAACAATTTGCCAAAACTCATGCACAATAACCATTGTGTTAATCTTTTTTTTTTCTACCTAAAAGGCATTCTTATTTTAACATGTTTACAAAGGTTAACGAATTATTGAAGCAGTATAGAGTATTTTCACAAGACGTCACGGCAGCCATATTGATGTCCCAAAACAATGAAACAGCGGCCATGTTGGTGTCCCATGTAAACCAATTCTGTGGGAGTTGAAATATTTTCTTATCCAAACGCTTTCTTTTGATCCAATAAATTTGCAAAGACGCTGGCCTCGTGAGTAAAAACGATCTATACACTTGTAACTTCCCTCTCTTTGATTTCTTAACCAATCATGAGATGGCTTTAGCTTGTACGTTTTGTTTTTCCAACGGGTGCTGTGATGCTTGGATGCAAATAGGGACAAAATTTGAAACAAGCAGTTCTCAAGGGTAACATCATATTGACTACAGCGGGAAAACAAAACATACAAGCTAAATAAAGACTTTATTAATTCAGATTGATCTTGAGCGACTGTATCGAGTGTGCGCTGTAGCAACGCAAGGATTCCCAGGAGGAAACAAACATTACGTGAAAGAATACGAACTTGGATGGTCCAACGATCAAATTGACTGGGATAAAAGTGCTGAGGTATGACGTTTTATTTCAGCTGAAAGCTTGTTTCCTTTGAAGTTCATGGAGAAGCAGTTTGGATTTCAAAAGGCCTTTTGCTTTATAAATGTACGGTGGATCTAGATCATCGTTGAGAACTACACTTGTTGAAAAAAGAAAAAATAACCTTTGCGTCTAAACGCAAAGGGAATGAGAAATTTTAGAAGCAATGTATGTCTTACCAGTTACTACTCGATGCAAAAGCGTTAAAGAGCGTTAAAAAGATTTCAATACAGTCAAACCCGGCTGTATGGACACTCGCTTAATACGCACACCTCATTATTACGGACACTATGCCTTTTCGCTGGGGAAAGAAAGCCCTTACATTTTCTATAAATGCACCCCGCTTAATACGGCGACACCCCGTTAATACGAACTTTCGGCCATGGCCTCTTTGTGTCCGTATTAACAGGGTTTGACTAAACTGCATATTTTTTCTTTCAGTCATTTTCTCGTTTCACTTGCAGGCTTATAACAAATCATTTTCCCGTCTACAACAAAATAATACGAAAAGAAAAAAATGTTTTAATTAATTACAGCAACAATACGGTAAAATTCCGAAGATAATCCCCAAGGCTTATATTTTTCAAAGGCCCATTATGAGGGGCTTATTTTTGGAGGGGCTTACCTACGGAGGGAAATTTGCGCTTCAAAATCTATTGGGCTAGCCTTATAGTTGGAATTAAATTTACCGTTTTTGCTTTGTTTTAATTTGTATTTGAAGACAATTTTCCAAGTACAAGCCTCCGGGGGGCTTATATTTGGACCGGTTATTTTGGGGGGCTTATACATGGAGGGGATTATTTTCGGAATTTTACGGTAGTTTAAAATTATTACCTCTGTAAGTTATGGGTGAATATTTTTTTATGATATAAAGCATGCTCCGTCAGCATTCTTTTCATTTTAGTTGACCTCAATGTTTTGTATGAATTTTATAGGTTCTTAAAGGAAATAATAACTGTTATAACATTGTGAAGAACTCCGTTCCAGCAATTTACGCTCGATATATTCGCCTCTATCCAATAGCATGGTACATCAGAGGATGTGTAAGAATAGAGCTTTACGGGAAACCCTGGCCAGAAGGTGATCATTTAAGCATAATATTCGCTGAACTCATCCATTATCTTACGTTTTTGCGCTCGATATAATCAGTACATAATCTTCTTCTTTGGCATCACTCGAGTAATATTTAGCCATAAATTGCATCATTTTTGGAGTATTTTGTCTCTCTATTTTTTTAATTTCATTTCAGACAATTTTCCCATTTACTTGAAATTCTTTACAAAATTCAAAAAGTTATTTGTGACCACTACAGTTGGTTTATTCACTGCCCTTACGTTTTAACATTTGTCATTTTTTATTTTATAGCTTCAGCAGCATCTTTTACTCCCATTGCTCCTGGCAAAGCTCTTAGTGGCCACGTTATCCTATCGCTGAATAACACTAACGTCATGGAATGCTTTAAAACTTGTCTGATAGCCGGCCAGTGCAAGTCTTTCAACTACAACGAGCAGTTGAAAAAGTGTGAAGTGAGCGGTTCCTCTGGCAAAGAACATGAACTGACTGAGCAGGATGGTTTCTACTATTACGAACTTACATCTCGTTAAATTTGTGTTAAATAAAACATAGATCTATGTAAAGGATAGCAAGAAAAATGCAGTTTTTCTTTCAGTTTTTTCTTTTCATGTGACGTGAAAGGCTTTGCTTTCACGTTTTACATTATTACAATGTACCTCATGTGCTGTTTTCACAAACGGCTTTGACATTGTGGCAGCCATTTTGATTGAAGTCACTGGCTGAGTATGCTGAGTATTATAATTATTCACTGAGTATTTATCAAGGGTTTCGACTTTCCAAAACCCAAGTAATATAAAGGGATGCTTGCTCCTAGCCGGGGTAACGAGTATTCAGGCCAACCTTGTCAGTACCATCTGAAGACCTCACTGCAATCTGTCTGTAGGCAGGACTTGGTACAAGATTTCCTGAGTCAGTGTCCCCAAGCAGTACGTACTTGTTTGTTTGGGAAAAAAAGTTAACAAAAAAGGGGAAAAAAGGAGGAACGACTGGGAGAAGAGCAACAAGAAGAAGACATTAAGAGAAGAAAAAAAAAAGGAGAAGAAGCAGATAGGTTAACTAAAACATGTTGCATTGCATACCGAGCGTGAAAAAAAATATAAAATTCTATTTCTTCTTATGCTGTGTTCTTTAAATAGCTCCACACTAACCGCTATGCTGTCTTTAATCTGGGCGTTTTGCTTAACTCACATTTCTGCTCATGTGTCGGTTCCTTCTCCAGCCCCACCATCGTCCGCCTCGTTTCCAGGCGCTAATGGCAAAAGGGCTCTTGTCTCGAATTTCACCCATGGAAATGGTCGGTACTGCTTATTGCGCTGTCAAATCCAAGTTAAGCGTCTTCTCAGTTACAAAACATGGTGCTGAGAGATTTACCAGGGATTTATGTGAAGCTGGCAAATGAGTGTAGTATGCCGTCTTCACGATAATATCTCAATGTTATTACAATAAGTAGAGTGTTTTAGTTTTTTTTCTAGTGAAAATGAAAGATTTTGTTATTCAAATCCAACGAGGAAAAGGATAAAAATGCGTTGCAAACATATTCATCATTAGGCTCTTCCTGGCTGATTTAGATAGTTGGTTGCGGCGCGCAGTCAGAGAGCAGAAAAAAATAAGGGCAAAAAAAAAAACCTGAGAGGGAGAGAGAGAGAAATAAGGAGAGAGGAGGCTCTGACACCCCAGTCCACCCCAGGCTCTGTTTTTTTTTTTCCTGCTCAGATCTCCTTGCGCAGTCCCCACCATCTGAACGCCTGGAAAAGGGTTATTCATCATGTTTGTTAGGATAATTGATTTTCGACTTATACACGCTATTCATAAACGATCAATGCTTCCTCCTAGGAAAGTGCCCATTTAATACAAGTAAGGATGTTAAAAGTAATTACAGTGACTAAGGATAGGTGACTTGTTGCTAATTTTCAAGGCTGTCATTAAAACAACCAAATTACTTTCTAGACTTTCCAAACAAGTCCTTCGTCGGATTGATTTAATATGGCGCGGGACCTCTCGCGACTTCGCCGCTCGGTTGGTCGCTTCGTGGCCAAAAAAGGCTCGCTCCGCTCGCCAAGAGGTCGACTTGTACCAAGTCTAATTACTTTCATGAAGATGACAAGAGACCACTTCAAATATATGGTTTCCATATACACCAGGTTTGACTGTCTATTTTTTTTTTCATACGCGGATTTAACTCATGATTGCAATAATTTATTGTTGATTCGCTATTCAGCTAATTACAGCAAAAACTTTTACAAATTTAAGACTTTTGGCCTAATAAAACGCTTATAATTAATCCAAAAGTGGGTTTCCAGAGAGGTCTGCAAACTTGTATCCAGTGTCGTCAAGAGAGAATTCAACAGTCGCCATTACAATACTCTGCATTGTTTGCTTATTCAAACAATCCATTAAAATGTGCGGGCGTCTCAGGAATTACACCGCAGTTTAATTACAGCCTCTAAAAATAAGTTGAGTGAAATTCACATCCCTTGGCCAACACCTTAAGATTCCCTCTCTTACCCATTCCTTTCTCATGTTTTTTTTTACACTAGTTCTGTTCTGTTTGAGACGGAGGGAGGGAGCGCATGAACCGTGTTCACAATCTGTATCTTTCTGTATCAATTTGTAATTTTGTGCTTTTAGTGTATAACAAAGCATATCATAAATGTTCTAAGAGTTGGCCTGCATGTGGTGAACACATCTCGCAAGGTTTGCTGTGGGTTAAGTCCTGAAATGGATGATAGCATCCTGTCTAAGGGGGAGTAAAAATAATTTCAGGTGTTTCGTGCCGCTAAAAGCCGGGTAAGGTTCTGCCTCTGGTCATTTCTGTTCCATAGCGCTCCTTATACAATGAAACCATATTGAAGGCCTGAGTATTGACTTCCAGAAGAGAATTACTTAATCACATGATCTAAATTGGTAAATTTGATTTGCAATTTATAACAAGAAAAACGCACATGTAAGACCATCTCACCACCCCACCCCAACCCCCATCAAAAAATCGATAATTAGGAGCTTTTGGACTTTGTGCAACCTAATTATCATTCTTGATTTCTGGGTTATGGGAGAGGAAAAAATGGCCGATTTGTCCTGGTCTCCTCATTTATTTATGGAATGGGAAGGGGCGTTAAGCTTTTCCTTCTGATTTGTGGCTAAGTCTGTCATTAAATAAACGTTTGCCATTATATTAATCGTTCATGAAAGTTTCAAGAATTGACACTTAAAGAGAGATTGCTTGGTGAGCAGGCGATTTAAAGAGGTGAAATTCTTCCCGTTCCTCAAGTATTTGCGCCTTAGCTGTAAAACCGCTTAATTCACACATCTTCAACTTCCCGCTTAAATTGATCGACTCGCAGTGAGTGGTCCTCAAGCACAGTTTAAAGCAATCTATGGCGTTGGTATTATTCAGTGTGGAGATGAAGTGACCTTGCAGTGCCCCACCTGAAGCCGTGGAAGTAAATATTGTAGTTGGCACTAGAAAAAAGGCGACAGTAACCAAAGTATTTACAAATATTCAAATATGCTAAAAAATTAGATTTGAAAACTTTACCTGAGGGCAGCTGAGATAATAGAGACCTCTAGAATCAGTTTGCCGTTACGCGTTTGCAGTTTCACGTTGCCGAGATTTCAAATTTTAGCAAGGCGTTCAGTTCAGTTCAGTTCATCTCATTTCATTTTTATTTAGCCAAAATATAATACAATACAAGAATACATATGGGAATTGTAAGTTGGCAAGGAAGCCAGAGGAAACCAGAAGGCTTATGAAGCCTGGGCTTCCCAGTCGTAAAGAAAGATTAAATTTAAAAAAATAATGAAATTCGCGGAGTGATACGTCAGCTGATACGTTAAAAATATGAACTAAACAGAAATTTTTTAAGTCATGAATTCAGTAACAAGAACAGAAAACGTTCTTATGTTAGTACGGCAGGAATATAAAATCGATTTGAGCCACGCGTTCATTGTTTAGTGTTGTTTAGTGCCGCAATGTTGTTTTTCATCAAGTCGAAGTGCATCACTGCATCAACTTTTATCGCCCAAAAAACAGGAACAATTCATTGATTCGGGATCAAAATCCAACAAACACATCGAGGCTGTACAATTTTTAGTGGCAAAAAACCTTGCCGTAAATCACTTTCCACTAGAAGCCCTTCCGGGCCGGTTCAAACGTGAATTGCAAACTGCAAACGTGACCGCAAGGCCGTGGTCACGTGACATTTTGCGGTTTGCGGTTTTCCTTGAAAAACCTAATGCTAAAGGTCTCTAATACTGCGCTCCCACGAAAACAATATTATTTTCTGACGTTATGGAACTTATATTTAAACTAAACATATGTTGTATCTTTACGTTACCTTCTAGCCAGGGCTCCCCATAAAGCTCCATTCTTACGCATCCCCTGACGTACCACTTTAAAGGGTAAAGGCGAATATACCGAGCGTAAATTGCAGGAATGGAATTCTTCACAACGTCCCGCCAGTTAGTGTTTCCTGTGATAGCCTGTAAAGTTAGATAGTTCTAGAATGAAGATCTAAATGAAAAGCCAAGATGATCCGTACCTAAAGAACGCTATCAAAAAAACTTTATCCACCCCTGACCAGGTAGGTATAATATATAATAAAAAGTATATATATGTGGTTATCGTCAGGGTTACTCGAGCCGCATGATAACTTTTATCTGTATAATATTAAACATAAGGGGGTACTTGTGAAACTGCCAATTGTGAAGGTTTAATGTTTTCACCTGTCTCGTTAAGGAGAGTAAGCGATCGTAATGAAAAAATACTAAATCATTACAATAAATTTAACCTTTATCTCATTTAAATTCACAATTTCATATGATCAGGTAGGAATAACTCAAGTTTATTAATATAATAAACTGTACTCAGCATTCTTTCCTTGCATGCGGTCATGTGGAACACTCATTTAGCTTTTTTAAAACGATTCGATTATTGCAAAAGTTAACCACTTATAATTAGTGAGAAATCTGAGAAAACCTAAGGGCGGCTAATACCTTGTCCGCAGTCTGTCCTTGTTCTTTGTAATACCGGAAATTCACTCCATCATTGCTGTACTGCAGTTTATACTTGCTCACCCACTGCTGGTAGTTTTCATTCCTTCTTCCTTGTGTAGCTACACCTGTTATTCTGGTGTATTTATTACCCAAACTAAAGAGATCAATTTGTAGCCACTGGTCGCCGTCTTTTGTGAGTGAAATCCATGCGCTCGCCTTGCCCAGTGCTCCTCCGTCAAAGTGTAACCTCCCCATGTTGGCAGAGTGCTTTTCATTCCATTCAGAGGATGCACTGATTTGTTTATCAGAGATTGCACCATTTTCCATACCCAGTGGATCATGACAATCTATAAGGAAACGACGTAGAGATATTTATCCAGCTTCGTGGTAAACGTCTTAAATTATAAGCTTCCTATCCATATAGCTGGCCTCTATTCCTACCCATTGCATGTGTGATGTTATACCCTCACTTTCGGATAACGACGTTGGTAGATGATGGCCACCCCTCCCTCACACCAGTGTCACATCCTTGTATTTTTAATTTCCAAGGTATTATGATGATTTGGGGGAATTTGACGCTCGAAATACAAATCATTAATTTTTGTGATTAATCAATTAAGTTTTTCAGCTTCTGTGTTTCTGAAAATGATGTTAGCAAACGTGCAAATGAGAATCATTTGTCCCATGTCAGTAGCCGATTAACTCTTGAATTCAGGTTATTGAGGTCAATAACTTTCTTTTTTGTCTAGTATCTTAAGAAGCAGAAGCAGGTTTGTTATTGTTATCATCGTCATCAGCATCATCATTAGTAGTATTATTATTACAATATTATTATTACGCACCTCGTGAACAACCAAACAATTCCACTCTCATTGAAATATGGTTGTTCCAAGTTAGTGGACGAAAACGAATATAACGCTCCCTGATTGGCGGTCTCAGTTCATGAGAAACCACAGTATCCCTATCTGTATTTCCCGTAAAAACCTAAACCATAAAACGAAACAAGTTGTTAGAAAAATTTGAAAGGAAAATATTATCCCAAACAACCCCGAATAAGCTCACCCTAGAAATATTTCAGAAAATTATTCATTCAAAATACTTCGTGGTTTCTGATTGGCTTTAATCCCCCGGGATAATTATTCATAACCAATTAGTGCTTACCATATTTGAAAGATGCGTGCAATAAA